TTGGGGTCCCGGGGACCTCGGGTGGATTCCGGGTGGTTAACGGATCAGAAATGAAATTTTAGAGAAGGCTGAAGTTGCTGGTTGCTGGTGTAACCGCACCTGCGAAACTAGGGCCGCAGGTGCGGCCTTCGTGCTGCAGAAGCAAAAATGGACGGCTAGGCTGGGACCGCAGATGCGGTCATTTTGCCGCAGATGCGGGACCGCACCTGCGGAAGGAGAAGCGCAGATGCGGAAGTTGAAGGATTGGGGGAAGACCGCAGAAGCGACAACTGGTCCGCACCTGCGGGATCGCAGGTGCGAAAGGACTGGAGGCAGTGAGCGTTTTAAAAATCGGGATTTAGCCATTTTCTCTCATTTTTCTCTTGGCTTGGACGATTCTTGGAGGGTTTCAAGAGGGGGTTTTCATCATCAACGACAAGGTAAGCCATCACCACCTATCTTGAGTTAAATACATTGATTATGTACGAATTTGAGCATGAAATTTGTAGAAACTTGGGGTTTGAGGGAAAACCTAGAAAATTTATATTCTTGGATTTTGACCACGATTTTGGGGATGAAATTAAGAGAAAATCATATAGTTGAGTTCGTGAGTTCATAGGTAAACTTTATCTTCGAAAAATTTAGGAATCCGGGCACGTGGGCCCGAGGGCAATTTTGTCAACTTTTCGATCGGGGTTAGGAATTATTATGAATTGGATTGTAATGAGTAATTGAGCATATATTAATGAATTTGCATAATTATTGGATAGTTTTGGAGCATTTAGCATCGATTCGAGTCTTCGGAAGGGCGTGGAATGCCGATTATGGATCGTCGGAGCAAGGTGAGTCACCTTTCTAACCTTGTAAGAGGGAATTGTCCCCATAGGTGAAATAATTGATTATGTGCTTCTATTTGTGGGGCTACGTACGCACGAGGTGACGAGGGTCCATGCGTAGCTACTATTGTGTTTAAGTCCGGGTAGTCTAGGACCCAAAAGCATGCTATACTTGGAATATTAGTAATCTTATTGACAGTTTGATTTGCCTAAATCACATTGAATCAGTAAATGAACTTCTAAAAAAATTAAACTTCATTTTCTAAAATCTTTAAAAGAGAATTGGTTTTTCTTTGGATAATTGTTCCCTGTTGATTTCTTGATTGACTGTTTGTGTGTGTTTAATTTCGGAACGGGCCGAACGCCTCGGTAGATTAAATAGATGCATCTATGGTTCGCGCCATTCAACCCTCTAACAGTGCACAGTTTAAATATTGTTGGATCGGGCCGTACGTACTCGGCATGATATGTGCATGCTTGTATTGCTTGCCTGAGAATTATAAATGTTGATATTTGCCTTTCCTGGCCCGATATAAATTGATAAAGATAATGAAAGGTAAATCTTGGAAATCCTTTATTATTTGAGAAGGTGTTTACCTGCTTTCCAACTTTATGAGTTATAATTGCTATATAAATTCATGATTTCCTCACATTTTTACTATATTAGTATTGGACCACTAGCAAGTATCGAAGTCGACCTCTCGTCTCTACTTCTTCGAGATTAGACGGGATACTTGCTGAGTACACGTTGTTTTCGTACTCATGCCACACTTGCTGTGCATTTTTTGTTGCACAGGCACATGCATTTCTAGTGGCCTAGTGGGCATAGCTGCATGGTTGATATGAAGACTTAGGTGAGCTGCACTTCTCGAGACGACCCGCAGACGGCAGAGTCTCTTTCAGATTATTGTATTTACTTTCTGTCCAATTTGTATTCCGGACGGTTGTTGTATTATATTGCTTCCTAGAGATAGCTCATGCACTTGTGATATCGGGTTCTGGGATGGTTACGGAATTGTTCAATATTAAATTGGTTAAAGACATTTCCTTATTTCAATGAATTTCATTAATTGTTGTTTAATGTATACAAGGAACGATTTCAATAAGTTATAAAACGAGAAATTACTATTGGCTTGCCTGACAATGGTGTCCGGCGCCACCACAACCCTTAGTGAAATTTGGGTCGTGACAGCACCTCTTACCCAAGTAAAAAATTCTGATGGATAATCCAGCACAATCTTCATTATGGACAAATAAAACTTATTAATTTTAATTAAATAATCTTTCTAACAAAAAGGAAGGTAAAAAGGACTGAAATGGAATAGTAATATTGATGTCTGGTATAAACCACAGGTGTATATGGGGAAACTACTAGTAAAAGTGTTAACTACAAAAATATTAGTTTTGAATCCATATTTTCAAAAAGCTCAAAACTTTGAACTCATTAAGTTAGAAGGCTCCATGGTCAAGGGAAAATACTCTAACGAGCATCGGCCATCGAGTGCGAAACGCTAAGCACTATATATATCCACAATTTTCAAATCTAACTCTCTCTAATAAATATGTATATAATTATGTGTATTGAATTCATACCTATTAATGCAAAGACATATTGAGTGCGAAGTTGGTTGAAAAATAGAATTGAGAGAAGGGAGTCTTGGAGCAATATTATAGTTATTTTTATGTAACCTATTGGTCACGAGTTCAACTCATGGAATCAGTCCATGATACTTACATTTGGGTAAGCTACCTATATCACACCCCCTTGGGATGCAGCCTGTAGCAAAGACATGAGAAATCTTTCCAAGGGTGTTCCAACTTGAAAAAAGTGAAAACAATTCTCGATAAAGAGTGTTCAATACACATTATATACCTCTAAAATTTAATATTTAATCTATATACACAATGTAACTTTCTCCTAAGGGTAGTCACTCAACCACCCTTAAAATAGTGTAGCTTCACCACTGAGTGCAGTTAAAACCTCTCGTCTTCCCCTCACATAGAACAATGGGACAAATTAAAAGTCTGGATATCAACAAGTCCTAATCGTCCAAGTGGCAAAAATCAAGCTATTAGTCCCTCCGGTCCACTTTTTTTTTTTTTTTGACAATCCGCTAGGCAAAAGCCTAGGGCTAGTTTTTTATTAATAAAAGAAAAAAAAAGTACAACAATTGGGAATAGTACAAATTAGGGGGGACAATAGCACCGGTATTGCTACCCATATAACTCAAACCGGGCTAAACCTTACCTTACTTTAATTAATTTTTTGACATTTTTTTGTGTTCCACAATATTTGATTTTCTTTAAATGTCAAGAAACAATAACTTTTTCTAAATTAAAGTTGGTAGAGTAAGGAGCCTAGAAGTATTTGTTATATTTTTGATGAACAAATTAAGATTAATATGGTGTGGATTCCTTAATATGTGTGGGGAAAAAAATAACTTAAAGTGGACCCGAGAGAGTACTTTGTACGCCTTTGGGCATAAAAATCGTAATTTTTGAAAAAAAAAATAATATTTAAAGTTAAGTTAAAAAATTGTATTTGAAATTCAAAATTATGTTTGGACATGTGTAGACATGAAATTTGAAAAAGGCGGAATACATACGGAGACATTTAAAGTTGGCACGATCTTTCATTTAGACACCTGAACTTAAGGGAGTTCCTATTGAGCACTTAAACTACCCGAAACTTATTCCAGTTGAGCACTTCTTGCTGAGTTGGCACATAAAGTGAATTTCACCAGATATAAGCACGTGAAGACCCAAAAAAAAAAATATATATTTTTTATTTTTTCTTTTTTATTTCCTTCATCTTCTCCCTCAAAAAGAAAACAGATCTGTCAGTCGTCTCTTCACGGCCGGAATCCGGCAAGAGAAATCGGCGACCTCATCCTCTCCAAAAAAACAAGAGCCCCCCTCTTCTTCTTCCGTGCTGGTCACAGAAAAGATTCCAAAACCATAGGAAAACGATCTGAGTTTGGCGGTGCTAAGCTAGAAATATTGTGCAATCTTGTCTTGATAAGAACACAAAGATTTTAGTTTTTGTATATCAAGAGTTTGAAGGCTAGGTGTAATTAGTTGATGTTATTTGTATCTTGGATTTTCTGAATGTTTAACAAGGAGTTCAATGTTCTTCAATCTTTGATTTTTTATTTTTTATTATTGGATTTTAATTTTTCTTGTAAATTCTGGATTTGATTTAAGGTTGGAGAAGACAAGAGCAGCAGCCGCATCCCCTTGTTGCAGAGAACTGCAATTAAATGAAATCCACCGTTAATGGGGTCTCTAAAAAGCTTGAAGGTTCAAAATGGGTTACTTGATTTGATGAAATTTTGGGAAATTAATATTGGGGTTGTCTTCGGATCGTCGTGGGGAATGTTTAGCTTAAGTTATAACAAATTTGGTGGAGTTTCTCTTAAAAATTTGGATTAAAATTGTGCTTGGAACAAGAACACACATGAAAATTATGAAGAACACCAAGACCACTAATTATTTTGTTTATTAAATAGATTTAACATAGTTTTTCTTTTTTTTTTTTACTCAAAATAATATATGTCCTTTTTCTATTCGTCATCCGCCACGTCAGCAACGAGTGCATTGCACAAACTTTGTAAGTTTGGCTGATTGTCAAATAAGTGCTCAATTGGAAGAAGTTGCGGATAGTATAAGTGCTCAATTGGAAATCCCTTAAGTTCAGGTGTCTAAATGAAAGATCGTGCCAACTTTAAGTGTCTCCGCATGTGTTCCACCTTTGAAAAATGGTATTTGACAAGCATAAAGTCAAATAGTAACGGGGTTCCAAATTTTTTCACAAGTAAACATGTTTGAATTAATCTTCTTCGCTTTCAACCTTCATTGATTAGAGAATATTTTGATATAAGCATAAACAAATAGTAAATAATCTAAAATTTGGGACTTTTCAAGATGTTACTATTTTGATACTCTTCCTCCCTTTAATCCATTAGTAGAGGGGTAAAGCTTGAAATTCTAGGTCCGATCCTGTAGCAACGGTGGATCTACATGTAATTTTTGGATGCTCAAGCACTCATTATTTTTGACAAGATTTAGTAAATTTGTATAGATAATTATTAAAATATTTACATAATTATTGAGTGAGCATCCATAACTAAACTTTTTTTCTTCCTCTTTTAAAATTTTTATCAGTGAGCACCCACGACTTTAAAATCATGAATCCGCCACTATCCTGGAGGATGTGACAGTCTTCACATAGATCCCAATACTCTCAATCCAATTGAGATATTTGGTGCCGTGAAATCCACCAAAAGAACGATCTTCTCCTATTTGAAAGCTAAACTTTGTGTAACATGGTGGGATATTGCTGCCATATGGTCCATAGGAACTTTTGTTGGTGCCAAATGTTATTGATTTCAAAAAACCCTCATTGGACGCACATTTTACCCAAATAAGATATTCTGATGGATAATCCAACACAACCTTCATTATGGACATATAAAACTCATTAAAATTAATTAAATCATCTTTATAACAAAAAAGACTGAAATGGAATAGTAAATATTGGTGTTTGGGGATGGGGGATACTAATAGTAGAACCACAAAAATATTAAATTGACTCCATATTTTCAAAAAGCTCAAAACTTTGAACATATTAAGCTGACGTTTGGCCATAGAATTTGAGAGTTATTTTTCAAATTTTGTTTTCAGATATTTGTTTGTTTATAAATTCTAACTATTTTTGGCAAATTTTAAAAATAAAATTTTCAAATCTTAAATCAACGGAGCAGCTCGGTGCACTAAGCTTCTGCTATGCGCGAGATTCGGGGAAGGGGTCTATTGTACGCATTCTTACCCTACATGTGTGCAAGACGATGTTTCCACGGCTTGAACCCGTGACCTCATAGTCACATGACTACAACTTTACCAGTTACGCCAAGGCTCCACTTCATATTTTCTACTCACAAAACTTCAATTTTTTTTTTAAAATAAAATGCATGTCCGGTTGCAATTTCCAACTTTCAAAAGCCATTTTTCATCTCATCTTCAAAACTTCATTTTTTTCAAGTTTGAAACAAATCTATGTCCTAATGGTAGCTTAGTATGATGCTCAAGGGAAGAAACTCTAACATATCCACAATTTTCAACTCTTATAAATATGTATCATGTGCATGGAATTCATACTACAAAGAAATATATATTCACTGCAAATTAAGTCGGTTGAAAAATAGAATTAAAGAAGGGGAAATGGGAGAGGGATACTTACTGCTGAGAAATTTTTGCTTGGTCCAACAGTACCATGTAACTCAGACAAAGCAAAGACGCCGTTATCAACGAACAGGAATTGAAGTGAACAAACTGTTGGTCCATCGTCGGAAATAAAAATCTTGGCTATTTGACCTTTTCCCTTTTCATCCCAAACGGTTCCTTTATTTCCTCCAACTGGCCCAAACTTGATCATATTCATATTCTCATTCATTATATTCTTGCTTTATGAAATAATGTGGTAGTAGTAGTTGTAGGTAATTAGAGGAGTAACTAAGGCTTTTCAACGGTTGGTATTCCTTTGTCTTCTATTAATCTCAAAAATAGGAATCTGACTTTTCGTATAACTCAATCTTTAATCGGAAAAGGGTCTGATATATCCCTCTACTATGATAAATTGTTCAAAATTGTCCCCCGTTATACTATTGGGCCATAAAAGTCCCTGCCGTCATACTATCCTAACAAATCTGCCCTTAGTTAGACGGAAGTGCCACGTGGCATCCATCCGTGCCCTTTTAACATCTGTGCACATATGAGACGACCCGCTCCATGAAACCCACCAAACCCATAACCCGCGACCCGCCATTTATAAACCAAATAATACCCATTTCTAATAATCGCGTTGGGGAAGTAATCGTTTTAGGTAATCTAACTTCCTATGGTGATTTCAATTTCCATTTTTTAAGCCGAAAACTTTCAGATTTCAAATTCAAAATCAGAAATCTGGGTTTGTTGGTTACCTATTGTTAGAATCATTTGGAAAAATCATTTATTGTGCTTAAGTTTTGATTCAATTACTGATTTGGGAAAATATAGTTGAAGGGAAACTAAAATCACTATTGGACTATTTGGAAAAGCTTGAAGAACACCCAACTGGGTCTGTTGTGAATTTGTGATTGCTTAAAAAAGCTTTTGCGGATGAACTTTGGTTTCCGATGGCTCCTTCTACACTTCTTATCATTTTTCTTAAATTTTAATTAAATGTTTTTTATTGGCATCTGATTTCTAATCTTCCTTAATTTTATAATATATGTAAAAACAGTTACGGACGAACCATTTTCTTCCTCACAATTCAGTAACTTCTTGGGAATATGGTGATGAAAAGTAAGGAGAAGAAGAGGATGGGAACGATGATATATCAATTGGACACTGGATGTAAAATTTTGGAAGAGTTGAGATGTCTATGTTTCTTGTTGAAAGTATTTTTTAGAACATTGTTAGAAAGCTGGTACGTGAAACAAGAGCTAAAAACTCCATTGATGAAAGCTCTGAATCTTAGCTCGAAAATTGAGTTTTCGAAAATGTAACTATTTCTAATTGATTTTATTGTGTTTTGTTAGGGATCTCTTGGGGAGCTTAAATCTCAAATTATAACAAATTTGGTGAAGATTCAAAGAAGTTGGGTTGGAAATTTTGAGCAAATATCAATAAAGATGAAGAACAATGCTGGTTTTCCATATTTTTAAGTTATGTCTCTCTTTTTGCCTTTAGGTTACGGGTCTTAATTTGGGCGGGTCAGTATTGGATGGTTTTTTTTTTAAATTGGGGGTTGGTCGTTTGATGAGGAGATGCCACGTGGCACTTTCGTTTAACTAAGGGCAGATTTGTTAGGATAGTATGACGGCGGGGACTTTTATGGCCAAATAGTATAACGGGGGACAATTTTGAACAATTTATCATAGTAGAGGGATAGATCAGACCCTTTTCCGATCTTTAATTGTGCTAAGGAAAACAAAAAATATAGAGAGACACCGAACTTTTACTCAAAACCTCCCGTCTTCTCCTCAGCAATTCCTAATCGTCCAAGTTGCAAAACCAAACTATTACTTAGTAGGAGTTTGGATATTTGGAATTTGAAATTATGTTTGGACATATATTTCACTTTAAAAATATTGCAATTCTATGAACGGGGAAAAAAATTTGGAAACCCTACAAATATTGCAGTTTTGTAAATGAGAAAAAAAGTTCTGAAAATTTTGAAACCACTTTTTGGTTTTTTGAAAAACTTCTATAAATTTGTAAAATTTCATAAATAAACACATTAAAAAAAATCGAAAGAAAAAGGAAACTTTTATTATGGACAAACGGGTCCTTAATTTCAAAGTACCGTTCAATTTCAAAAAACTGTCACTGGCACTCTATTCTTTGATTTTTCTTCTGTATTTTGAATTTTGATAGTTATTTAAATGATGAGATGACAAAGAAAGGTTGAAGCCCAGACACCTTGATACTGAATGTAATCATAGATGGTTACTGAAGACATGGGCAAATAGATTAGGTGAATAGTAATTTTTTTTTTTTACAATAGTAATATTCTACTATGAGGTTACTCAAAACAGAAAGATATATGTGATTGTTGTTGGTTATATCAATCACTTAAAGTATAAGGTCTTGCTTTTCATAAATTGATTATGTGATTTTTAAAATCTGTGAGTCAAGTTCGCTAATTCTATTATCAGTAAATATAGGAATACCTTTCATATCTGTCCGAAGTGTTCTAAGTGGTTGTCTTTGTATGTCACCTCAGCAAATTTTCTGAAGTGTTCAATTTATAGTTAGAAAAATCTTTACTAATTACTTATGATTAGAGCTTGCTCTGAGGTGTGAATCGAAGTGTTGGAAATATTTTTCTTTGCTTGTATTGTAAACGATGACAAAGGTTTATTTCCGGTCTTAGTAAAGTTTATTTGGCTTGTGTTTATTTTAATAAAATATTAATATGTGGCAATTTGTTTCTGACTTTGATTTAAGCACATTATGTTTGAATTAAGAGGGTATAATTGCCTATTCAAGTTTTTATTTTCTTCTTTACGATTTTTTTTATTTTACTCATTCTAATTACAATCGAGAGGGATAGACCAAACTAGTTCAAACTTATTTCAGTTTGTTGATTACATAGTTTCTTCATGAACCATCTTGTGAAAGCGAACCGAATCAAGTAGATTGAACTGACTAACCGCAATTCGATCTCGCTAGTGATAGGTTTTCATGAAAGATAGTGGCACCCGCGACCTTCAAATTCTGAATCCGCCTCTGTTTGTAACTTTTTAATATAGGGACTAGCAAACCAATTAAGAACGACAGTGGTAGTTGTAAGTACTAAAGAGGCTCCATCCGCTAGATTTCCTAAAGGTTTATTACTAGACCGGCGATATAGAGACTAGGGGTGTGCATTCGATTTATCGATTCGATTTTGACCCTTATCGATAATTACTTATCGATTATCGATTTGTACATATGTTTATCGTTATCGTTTCAATAAGGTTTCGATTTTTTTTATTTCGATTTATCGATTTTTGGGGCTTATCGATTCTGTTATCGATTACACCAATAAGAAAATTTGACAGTTTCTTAAACTATTTCCTTCGTTTTCTAGATCTAAACTTGTCTCATGCTATAGAATCAACAATATAAGAAATCAAAGGCTACTAACTTTTCTACATAATGAAATTGTAATGACTGTGTAAAAGCTCATTAAACCAACAAGCTGAAACCAACACTTTATAGAAAAGGACTAACCAACAAGCTAAAACCAGTGACAGAGGCAAAGAAAGTAGCCATGGAAGCAACAACAAGGGGTAACTCTCCAAGATGACCCACAAGCATGAAGTTGAAGAAGCATATATGATGACTACAGAAGAATACGCAAATAAAGAAAAATACCCATTTCTACATCAAAGAAAAAAGGCTACCTGAAGAGAGGTCAATAACAGAGAGAGAAGGTCTCTTGAAATGGATACAGAGGTGAAATCTGCTGATGCTTGAAATTGTAACAAAGGCACGGAGAGAGAGAGACAGAGAGAGAGAGGGAGGGGGGGGGTGGGAGAAACGTACTATTGAAGTCACCGGAGTACGCCAGAGTATGCCGGAGTTCACTTTCTCTGTTGGGTTTGCAGTTCGCGGGAGAGAGGGAGAAAGGTAAAAGCGGCGCTGAAGAATGGGTAGAGGAAATAATAGGGTTAGGGACTTAGGGTAAAGGAAAGGGTATTATAGAATAAGGGTATATTTATCTTTTTAGTATATCTTATCGGTTTATCGGTAAACCGATAACCGAAGAGGACAAAATCAAAATCGATAACTCGATAAAGGAAAATTTTAAAATTGAAATCGAAATTGATAAACCGATAACAAATAATTGATTCGATTTATCGATAAACCGATTCGAATGGACACCCCTAATAGAGACACAAAAGGTTGAAGGAAATGCATATATCACTTTATAAATAGTGTTGTATTCAGGACCATATTAGCAAATACCACCTTTTAAACTTATGTATGATAAACCTGATGGTTGATATTCAATACAGTCAGATCTCTCTATAACAGCATCCTTATATAACAACACTTCGCTATAAAAGCCAAGCTTTTTCGGACCAATTTTTATGTTATGTTATAATATATGTTCTCTATAACAGCACTTCGCTATAACATCCAAAAAATTTCTGAACAAACGAGACTGTTACAGAGAGGTTTGACTGTAATATATTTTTCTAGGCAGACATGGAAATGTTAGTCATCAGGTTTCCCTTTCTTTCTGAATGATATGTTGCAGCAGGAAGAAAGTGGTCCAAAATGTCTGAGTTGAGCAGCCTTTGCAATATTAGCTAACAAGATGAGCCAGCTTCATAACAATAGATTTTGCCCAGCTAAGTCAATAGAATGCAGATAACGGAACAGAATAACTTATACTACTCTGTATTGTTAAAATAGTGTGAGGACCCAAAAGGTCATCACTTGTGTTGCAAATGAATTCAGTGTTCCGAGGCCTGAAAACCTCCTTATTACCCCACCTTGATTTACGTGCGTGGTCCGGACTTATATCCGGAAAGCCTTCTATGTGAAAATATGAGAAATAGAAATCTTTAGAATTAAAAAAATTGATTATGGTTGACTTTGGTCATTTTTTTGAGCAAACGGACCCGAAGCCTAAAAAAAAAAACTCTCAGCCGTTACCCACCTTTCTCCATCTCTTAGCCGCACCCCACCTCTTATTCACCGAAAATCAGCCGACACCACTCAAATCTCTAGGAGAAGAAGCCACACCCATCATCTTCTTACAATTGGCCACCCCAATTTCCCCAAAAGAAAATACCCCCCCAAAGCAGAATTTTCCAACTCGAGAGACGAAGAGACCACGCACACACACATAGGGAAAAAAAACGAGAATGAGAACAAAAAGGGAGGAACAAACAGAATAGTGAT